CTGCAAATCGCGCGACCGGGAGAATTGTTAAAATAAAAACACTTCAGCTTTCAATTTAAATGACGAACGCACACGTTTATATGCTTTTATTTCAATTCGCGGTACAAAAATTTAACTTTAAGTACAATACCAAAACAAGTGCCACAGTTCAAAATCGTGTGGTTTTTCGACAAGAGAAGATATATATGTATGTATACATATGTTGCTTTGACAGCTGGTGATCGTTCAAGTGAGCGAGTAGCGCACGCGTTGCCAACTACCCGGTTGGCTGTTAGGGGTGTTCCCGTTGCGAGCTAATTATTAGTTCAAAAAAGTTACATTTCATAGAAATAATTCAAGTCTAGATACTTCAATAAATACGAATGGTTAATGCGGGGTGCGTGCGCTAGTCACTCACTTGAACATCCTGCCCCGCCTAGGCGCGCTAGACGGCTAGTGCCACTTTCAACTGCTCCAGCGCTCTAATGGCCTCATCCATAAGCCGATTTGCCGTCTTTTCTCGGAATGCAGCGGTATGGAGCCCTGTTGCCGAACATTTGACGGTGCGTGGTTGTGTAATGGTGGCTGCAGTCGGATTGTAGCGATGGGTAGCGGCCTGGGTAGGTGGGTTGCGACGATTTTGTTTTGCGTTTGAGCGGGATGCAGGTGTCGGAGGTGTTTGAGCTGGAGGTGCTGTGGTACGGCGATGCGGCTGCGGTGGCGGCGGGGCCCGATGAAGCATCGTGTGGTGCGGCAGTGCACATATCCTGCACGTGATCTGGGATGTGCATTCGCTGGTAGCGTGCGACAGTGCCAGGCAGTTGGTGCAGTAGTTATGGGCCCGCGCCAACAAGTACCGCTGCGCTGGCTGCATCCTTCTAAAGAGCGGGCATGTTCGTAGCGCGTGGTGACGCGCGCAAACTCGGCACTTCTGATAATCAAGGTTTGGGCGCCCCCCGCGGTCGCTAGCGGCCACAAACACCTGCGAGCGGAGTGATGTTCTTGGTGCTGGTGTGGGTGCTGAATCCATTCACGCCTGTAAGTAGTTGTGTAGATATATAATTTTAGTGGGACGTATATCGAGTATCGTGGGTCATGAGACAGAGAAGTATATAATTGTTATTTTGGAGAAAAGGCGCGTATGGTGATTGGAGGAGAGACAAATTTACGATCAAGCGGTTTGTGGTATAAGTGGTAACGAATCACGATGATGGTGTAGGGTTACTCGGTCGCACTGGGACTGAGCTGAAATTCGGCCGGTGGCAAAAAACATAATTTAACTATCGGCCGTGTGAGAATGCCGGTTTGAGTGCGTGCCTCGACAACACGAACATGCCCATCCTTGCCAGGGTGCAACCTATCGATGCGGCCCAGACGCCATTCCGTGGGCGGGAGTGTGTCATCATTAATGACTACGCATTCTCCGATTCTGGGTTCGACTTGAGCATTCTTCCACCTGTGTCGCTTATGTAAGTCTTTGAGGTAGTCTTCCTTCCATCGTTGTGCGAATTGGTGGTGTAAGACCTTGAGTTTTTCCCATCTATTAATGAGCGAGAGGTTTTCGCGACTAGATTCGGGGAATGATAGGAGGGGAGCACCCCGGAGAAAGTGGCCAGGTGAGAGCGCTGTAAAGTCCGTCGGGTCTTGGGTGAGTGGGGATATCGGACGAGAATTTAATACAGCTTCTACTCTTATTAAAAGGGTAGTAAACTCCTCAAACGCAAATTTATGGGGCCCGGCAGTTCTTTTAAAGTGAAGTTTAAAACTTTTAACGGCAGACTCCCATAAGCCACCCATGTGCGGGGCGCTGGGAGGTATAAACTGCCAATTAGTACCCTGGGGTGAGTATTTTTGGACAATATCACGGGATGCCGTTTGGAGGAAGACAGAGAACTCCTTTTCAGTGGCTCTTTTGGCTCCTATAAAAGTTTTGCCATTGTCGCTCATCATTTTAGCGGGGTAACCACGCCGACCAACAAAACGAGCAAAGGCGGCGAGAAATGCCTCTTTGGTCAGGTCTGAGCACAGCTCGAGGTGTACCGCCTTTGTTGTGAAGCACACAAAAACGGCCACATAGCCTTTCACTAAAGTGGGGGATCTTAGCATGGAGGCTTTTATTTGAAAAGGCCCAGCAAAATCAACACCGGTGGTGGTGAAGGGCGGAGCGAAGGTGCATCGTTCGGGCGGCAGGGCAGTCATAATCTGCGAGCGCATTTGCTGTTTGTGAATGGTGCAGGATTTACATTGATAAATGCATTTTTTGATGAGGGGCTTGAGCCGGGGAATGTAAAATTCTTGCCTGGTCATCTGCTGCATAAGTCGTACTTCTGCATGGAGGAGTAGATCATGGAGAAACTTTAGATAGAGGAATGCGAATCGGGACTTTTCCGGAATTATAATGGGGTGACGTTCGTTATAGCTCAAGGTAGCATGAGCAAGGCGTCCATTGACGCGGAGAACTCCATTTTTATCCAAGAAGGGGTTAAGAACTAATAGTGAGCTCTTTTTTTCAATGGGTTTGGAGTCTTCCAAGCGGGCCCTTTCATGGGAGAAATGACGGGTTTGCGTGGTTATAATCAGACGGATTTTCGCGCAGCGGAGATCAACATGTGATAGCGGGGATGATGCGCGGTCATGACCTTCTGGCGCTTTGTCCTTTAGTCGTCTGATGAACTTGAAGACGTAGGCCATCACTCTCAAGGCTCGAGAGAAAGAGGAAAACCTGTCCAGAACGTCGGGATCTCCTTCGGTGGTGAGTAGTGCCTCCACTCTTCGCACTTCCGGCGGGTTGACATTTCGAACTGGGGGTTTTGGCCATTCTTCGGGGGGCTTGGATAGCCAATCAGGACCGTTCCACCATAACGAAGACGCTGCTAGGTCTAGTGGCTTGCAACCCCTTGTGCCCATATCTGCGGGGTTGTCGCTGCTGCGTACATGCCGCCAGGTGGCGCTTCCAACGAGTTCCAAGATCTCCGCGGTTCGATTCGAGACGAACGTTTTCCAAGAGTGGGGTGGTTTTTCCAGCCATGCCAATACTATTTCAGAGTCCGACCATAGTACCAGTTTTCTTTGAGAGACGTCGAGATGGGACTGGACAGCTGCGAAAAGTTTGGCTAAGAGAAGAGCACCGCAGAGCTCGAGCCGGGGTAAACTAGTTGTCCGAAGGGGTGCTACCTTGCCTTTGGAAACCAGAAGATGGGAAGAGGTACTGGAACCATGAGTAGTTCGAACATATACGTTGGCACAATATGCCTTTTCTGAGGCGTCACAGAATCCATGGAGTTCAACCTGCTGGTCAGGAATAAAATTTACCCATCGTGGAATTTGAATGATCGAGATTCGAGAGATCGAACTGAGACCATTTAACAAGACGGAGGGGTTTGACTTCCCTGTCCCAGTCAGTTCCATCGATCCAGAGCTCTTGTAAGAGAATCTTTGCCTGGATCATTATCGGCGTAAGCCACCCTGCGGGGTCAAAAAGTTTCGCGACAGAGGAGAGAATCTGTCGTTTAGTGCTTGCAGATGAGGCTGGGATGGAGTCGATCGTATAGCAAAACGGGTCTGTGAGCGCATTCCATTGGATCCCTAGAGTCTTTGTGGTACTTGCTTTTTCGAACTCGAGAAAATTAGTATCGAGCAAGTCCTCTTTCCTCATATTTTTGAGAATGTCTGGGTGGTTCGCTGTTATTTTTTTCAAGCCTGCTGAGTTTAGAGCCTGGATGACTTGAGTGAGAGATTGAGTGGCGATTGCCAGATCGTGGCTACCAGAGAGTATGTCATCCACATACGTTTCTTTCTTCAGAATGGGGGCTGCCATTGGGTAGTTGGTTTTTTCATCTTGTGCTACTTGGTGAAGTGTGCGAATGGCGAGGTAGGGCGGGCAGTTTACACCGAATGTGACCGTTTTTAATTTATAATCTTGAATGGGACTGGTTGTGGGTGAACGAAAGATTATTCTTTGAAAGTCCTGGTCTTCGGGATGTAGCAGTATTTGTCGGTACATCTTTTCGACATCACCATTAAATACAAATTTATACATTCGCCACTTGAGGATGAGAAGCATCAAATCAGGCTCGAGAGTTGGTCCGGTATATAATACATCGTTAAGAGAGTAACCGGACCCCGAAATCTTTGAAGCGTTAAAGACAACTCGTACTTTTGTCGTTCGTTTTTCGGGCTTTATGACCGCATGATGAGGGAGGTAGAACGACATGTACTTGCCTGAGAGGAGTTTTTCTTGAGACATAGTTTTTTCCATGTGGTTTAGGGTGAGATATTCTTCCAGGACATTATCATATGAGGCCTTTAAATCGCCCTTTTTGGTTTAGGGTGAGATATTCTTCCAGGACATTATCATATGAGGCCTTTAAATCGCCCTTTTTGAGGAGGTTTCTCTCAATTCCGAGAAATTGCTGAAGCGCTGAGGAGCGAGAGTAACCTAAAGAGATTTCTTTGGGGAAACTTGGCTTGAACGGAAGCCTGACCACATAACGACCATCAGAGTTGCGAGAAGTGGTGGATTTATAGAAATCTTCGCAAAAGTCGTCTTCAGGGGTGGTATGCTTGAGGTTTGGAACTTCTTCTAGTTCTCAAAACCGACGCAATTGTGAGTTGAGGTGCTCATTAGAAATTTCCTCTATTTGTGTAGAGTATGAAGCTATGTTTTCGTAAATCTGACCACTAAGTATCCAACCAAATATTGTCTTTTGAGCTAGCAGAGTTGGTGAGATTTTTTCAATGCCCTCCTCGATTATTTGAGGGATGATATCACTGCCTAACATGAGGTCAATCTGGGCTGGGGAGTGGCAGTTTGGATCTGCCAGTTTCAGATGAGACCATTTTTCTTTGTGGTCATGATTAAGTGGGAACTTGGGGAGCATTTTTGTCAGCTGTGGTAACACGATAGCTTGAGCATTTATTTGAGTTTGGAGATCGGCGGAGACCAAGACTAAAGAGCATAATTTGTTCGAAGTTTGAACAACTCTTCCACCCATGCCCGAGATTTCAAATTTTGAGGATTTGCAGGGCAGCCCTAGCTTATTCTGAGCTTTGGTGGAGATAAAGCTTCGTTCGGACCCCTGGTCTATGAGAGCTCTGAGTTTAAATATTTCTCCTCGGTGTGATACTGGTACCATAGCTGTAGGGAGGAGTATTCTGCTCTCATTCTCTGAGTAAAATGTTTGCACCTGCGTACCTGAGTCTTCTTGTTCGTCAGCGTCTGTTTGAGTTGAAGTTTGGGCACTTAAGTTTTTGGAGGTTGTGGTTGCCACTTGTGAGTTGGTTTTTTGCACTCTTGGGGGTTGCCTTTTCGTTATGGAGTTTGTGGCTTCATGGAGCACTGAGTTGTGCCGTTCATTACAATGGCTACAAGTTTGGGTGCTAGGGCAATCTTTCAACGAGTGTGACTGAGATAGACAATTGAAGCACATATTATTTTCTCTTACGAACTTCGTGCGATCAGGGATTGACAACTTTCGGAATTTGAAGCAGTTCCACAGCGAATGAGAGGAGTTCTTACACATCGAACATTTGTGCATTATTCGCTGCTCTGCCACGTGAGATTGTATTTGTGACATTGCTCTGTTTTGAAAGCTTTGAGAGTGAGGGGGTTTAAAAAGTGGTTTGTTATGCGAGAAAGGGGGCTTTGAGGAGCTATTGGGCTTACCAGGAAGTCTCGTCTTCGGCAGGCGCCATTGATCAACTCTTTCTACCACCTCATAGCGAGTAGTCAGAAACTGGTTCATCTGGGACCAGTTGGGGAGGTCTTTTCTGGAGATGAGGGATTGTTCCCACAGAGTTACTGTGTTCTCCGGAAGTTTGGAGGTGACCAGATATATGAGGATGGGGTCCCAACTCTCTGTCGAAACTTGCTGGGTAGCGAGGATTTGAAGGCAGTTATTTACAGAAGATTGTAATCTCTGTATATCCTCGCTATTTTCAACTTGAATTGGTTTCAAATTCATTAGGGTTTTTATTTGGTTATCTACCAAGACTCTGCGATTTTCATATCGTGCTCTTAGGGCTTCCCATGCCAGTTCGAAGTTGTCATCACTTAACGGGAATTGTTTGACTATTTGGCCGGCTTTGCCTTGCGTTTTGTACCGGAGGTGGTACAACTTCTGAATTTTTGTGAGTTTTGGGTGGTTAATGTAGACCGCGGTGAACATGTCACGGAAGGACGGCCATTGTTCATAACCCCCGTAAAATATCTCAGTGTCGCAAGGAGGGACTTTTAAGCCGAAGCCAGTTTCATCTTTAGGTTGTGATGTACCGGCATGGGGAATGGGATCACTCGTTTGTTTGAGTAACAGAAGTTGGTCACCTATCTGGGCTTTTGTGTCTTCATACATTATAAGACAAGACCTGTATTTATTGTACGCGGCTGACTTGAAATCATCGGGGAGGTCCTGATCTTCAGTTTCTAAGACCGTATCGTAAGAGATTTGGACCCGATTCCAAAAGTTATCGCAATTATTGTCTTTTATTTTCAGACTTGACTCGGTGTTGTCTTGGATTGGGGTGGACTTGAAACGAGTACAGTAGTCCATGAAATTATCAGTTTCTGATATAAATTTGATAGAAGCGAACGATTGCTTGGATTTCTTCGAGGTTGACTTTCCACTTGTGCGCGTTAAGCGTTGGGACTCCGTGGAAGTACCTTGGGCTTTTTCATCGTCACTCATCTTTGGGCTTTTTGATTTATCTATTTGAGGGGCACCAAGCATTTATTAATTCAAGGGAAAAGGGGAGTGAGTTGATCAGTTATGCGAAATAAAATGACCGCAATATAGTGTTCGCAACACGAGAAGTAATAGAAAAATTTGTCGCTTCGAAATGTGTGTTCGTACCACTGTACCCGCTTAAGCAAAAAATTCAATCGCCGTACCGCACTTTTTGTTATATTTGTATATATGTATAGGTATATAAGTATATATTAATATTTTATGAGGGGTTAGAGATAAGCTGATATTTGTGGAGTTTATTAAGTTTTAACTATTTAATATTTAAGTGACCGTTTATGTGTGTGCATATATGTATGCGCGCTCATATATCAAAATTTATGTGTGGAAAAAAATGAGAGAGCAAGTAAATACTCGCAGTTATTTTCACTTTGTTCGAAAATACATATAGAAATATGCACCGTTTGCTGATTGCGCGGGAAAATATGAATATTTATATAGGAGATCTCCACAAATATTGCTTCTTTTATATATATATGTTTTTTTTTTTTCTTTTTTGGGCGTAAGTGGGGTTAAAAGAAATTCGTTTCTTACTTACGGCTTTATTTGGGCTTTGGGTACTTATATGGGTGATGATGATCCGCCTGGACTGTTGCGGGCTGGTGTCAAAAGGAGGCGACGAAGGACCAAATCGCAGGGCGTGGGGGCCTGCGTTAGTTGTGGGCAGCGGAACGGTGGATCTCTAGGATTTGAGGCTAGGTGGGGTGGTCAACCGGAGGCGATGGGTTGGCCTTTGCTGGGCAGCGCTGAAGGTTATCCGTTGGGGTTGAACGGCGTCGGCTAGTTGCTGGCGGTGGCGCAAAAACCCGGCGGCTGCTGGAACAAAATGATGCTACTCTGTCACTGCAAATCGCGCGACCGGGAGAATTGTTAAAATAAAAACACTTCAGTTTTCAATTTAAATGACGAACGCACACGTTTATATGCTTTTAATTCAATTCGCGGTACAAAAATTTCACTTTAAGTACAATACCAAAACAAGTGCCACAGTTCAAAATCGTGTGGTTTTTCGACAAGAGAAGATATATGTGTATGTATACATATGTTGCTTTGACAGCTGGTGATCGTTCAAGTGAGCGAGTAGCGCACGCGTTGCCAACTACCCGGCTGATAGGGGTGTTCCCGTTGCAAGCTAATTATTAGTTCAAAAAAGTTACATTTCATAGAAATAATTCAAGTCTAGATACTTCAATAAATACGAATGGTTAATGCGGGGTGCGTGCGCTAGTCACTCACTTGAACAGTAACTACTGGAGATTATTCACTCAAAATTTATATTTACAATAATTTTTAGACGAAAAATAAGAATATTATAAATTTTTGGAAAATGGGCGTAGCCACGCCCACTTATGGTTACATGTGTATATCTTGGTAACCGCTGCACCAATTTCTTCCAAACTTGGCACAGTTGTTGGCCTTGGCACAGCATAAAAAATCGCCGAAACTTTTTAAAATCGGACAATAACCACGCCCACATCCCATATAACGGTAATTTAGAGAAATAAAAAATCTTCGATAAATCAGTAAATATTGAAGCTAGTTTATTCAAAATTGATGCTTGCAACAATTCTTTACTAAGAAATACGATTATGGTAAAACTTTGGAAAATGGGCGTGGCACCGCCCACTTATGATCTCATATTAGTATATCGGTAACCGTTCTACCAATTTGTACCAAACTCGGTGTGGTTATTGTGCTTGCCACATATAAGCAAAATGTTGAAAATTATTGAAATCGGACTAAAATAACGGCCGCTTCTCATATAACGGTAAATTTCAGAAATGCTTGAAACTTCAATATTTCGAAATTGAAGGACGCTAATTTGCTCAAAATTGATACACCCCGGCTTACCATCTAGCGGAAGGTTTCGGAAAGGTGAAAAAACATATATTTAATACTTGCGCCGGGTATTTAATGTTCGGCTTCGCCCGAACTTAGACTTTCTTACTTGTTATATATAAAATAGAGGCGCCACGCCCGCTTTTCCGAATTTAAGCAATTTTCACACAAACCATCTGCATGATAGCCCGAATATGCCGCACAAATTTGATTGAATTCGGTGAATCCGTTCGCAAGTTATATGGTCACACCAAAAACGTTCAAATATTTTTATATTTTATTAGTATGGGTGGTGCCACGCCCCCTTTTCCGAATTCTGGCAAACTTCGCGTAAACCATCTGCATGATAGATCGAATATGCCACATAAATTTGGCTGAATTCGGTGAAGCCGTTCTCAAGTTATGAGGTCACACCAAAAACGTGCACTTATTTTTATATACAAGATATGAAGTATTACATACATAGGTAAATACAATTCATGTGCAAACAAATATGAGTTCGATATGCAAATCCTGATTCGCAATGGCATGGATTTCATGTAAAATGAACATACTATATGTATATATATAAAAAGGAAAATAAATGAAGGTTAAGATGGTAATGGCGTGCTCCAACATTCCGGCCCATTGAAGGACCTGCGATCTTCAATCCACATTTGTTGGAAGCATTGCTAATTTGTGTATAGCATGGCGACGGATCCCGGACTATGTTTTGATGTCAGCCACCCGAACCTTACCGTCTGCGCCAGTCACGGACGGTTCTTACCACCCTTCCTAAAAGCCACTTTTGGGGCGGCGAATTGTCGGCGTGCACCAGCACGATTGTGCCAACTTCTAGGTTGCGTTGCGACCTGTACCATTTGGTTCTCGCCTGGAGGGTGAGGATATGGTCCCGCTGGAGGGCGGACCAAAACCGAGCCTTCAGGGACGAGAGCCGCGGCCAGCGATCTAAACAACATAACTTCTCGGTTGAGACCCGTGCCTCGGGCACGGCCATAAGCGACTCTCCTATTAAGAGGTGGGCCGGGGTTATTGCCTCGGCGTCGTTGGGGTCGTCTGTTGCTCCTCCGATTGGGCGGGACTTCATTATTGCCTCTACGTCTACCATAATGCTGGCCAACTCCTCGAACGTTAGGGTAGCGTTGCCGATGACGTGCATAAGAAGGTGTTTGGCGCTCTTGACGGCCGCTTCCGTCCGCGATGGCGATGGCGCCCACGAAGTTCGCTGCGTTGTCGCAGTATAACTTCTGCGGAACTCCGCGACATCCGACGAACCTTTTGAGAACAGATAGAAATGCATTAGTTGATAAATCATAGACAGGCTCTACATGTACAGCCTTTGAATTGAAACAAATAAAAATGGCAACGTAAGATTTGTAAGGCGGTCGGCCCCATATTTTGTGTGTGGTGTATATAGGCGCACGAAAATGAACTCCGGAAATAAGAAAGGGTCTAACTGATCTTAACCTATCTGGTGAGAAATCACCGATTATTTGGTTCATCATGAATGATGACTTTTCAGAACGCTTTTCTGATGATTTAGTTTCTTTGTATGAGGTCTTGTTTTGCTTATGGTCATTTACCTCTAGTGACTGACAACGCGTTATAAGGACTTTAGCACAATCATTCCAAGTGGGGAGTTTCGAATAATCAAGTAGGTCATTCAATTTTGCTCGTGTAGCCCCACCGACCTTTGACATAGCTAAATGAATAAATATTGTTATATTTTTTTCGCTGCCCAACGAATGAAGCGAATCATATATAGCCGAGCTAGTATCAACGGCATTGCGGAGGAGTGACGCACTTGGGTGAGAAATTTTTGGAAGGCTAAACACTTGTTCTACACTGTCAAAAAATATGAGGCACTTCTTAAAAATCTCCTCTCTCAATTAAGTTTACACGGTAGAGCAACTCTAGGAGATATTCATTCTAGCTAGAGACAAAATAGAGAAATCTCAACTTTTATCTATCACGTACTCTACAAGCTGTGTACACGGTAGACAATAGTTACCTCTCGCCTGGAGCTAGTATTCTATCTTGAATTGTTGTCAACGCTTGTTGTATGTATATATGTATTTATATCAAAGCCACGATGTAGAAAATATAGTTGGCGCCATCAGCGCAGCGCTAACCCTTCGTCGATTTGACAGCATTCACCTATTTTCTGACGTCATAAAATACATTTTCGCAATATGAACAAGAATTAAATTTTCAAATTGTACTTATTTGCCGAATAAAATTTTACCTAAAAGTAGACAAATGAACCTAAAAATTAAACATGGCAACCTCTCTCTTCGGTACTATGTGTACTTTTGGACTCGCATCAAACAACCTTTAATATTTAAAATTCTCATGAAAGGAGTTTCCCCGAGCAGTTCGAGCCAAACTACTATATATATGTATGTAGGTATTCATCAAGTTGAGCAAGTGGCCTGGCACTCTGACAAAACAGCAGATAACTCAAGCAACGACTATTGCCAGAGTGCTCAATTTGTGAATACCCCTTAGGTTTCAACTAATAATTATGCCCCTTTGCAAAGGACGGAGGCTATCGGAAAAGCCATTGAAATATCAATGAAAATTAGAGGATGATTCTCGGTACATTATTTGACTACGTTTTAATTGCATTTAAAATTGTGTGCTTGTATCGAATATACGGTTTAATGTCGTAGCCATTTCATAATTTAACAATCTGTAATGAAGTTCATTGTCAAGACTTTACTATTTATACGTATCCGTAGAGCAAAAAGTTTATTTAGCTTGCTAAATAGAGCGTGGAGTTGTCGTAGAGTTTTCGATCTAGCTTCGTTGGACTGTGTACACGGCGAAGTCTCGCTAAATAACTCTCACATAGACTTTGTAGGTGAGTCTCTCGTAGAGCTCTATTGAGTGTTTACACGTCTCTAGCGAGATTTTTGTCTAAATTTCGCGTTTTTTCTCTTCCGTGTACACTTAGTTTAATGCTTTCGGATAACTCTCTTCCGTAATTTGAAATGCCTTAAAGCTAAGCGTACACGATAGAGAAATCTCTCGAGAGTTTTACTGAAACAAAAAACTCCTCTCTCAATTAAGTTTACATGGTAGAGCAACTGTAGGAGATATTGACTCTAGCTAGAGACAAAATAGAGAAATCTTAACTTTTATCTATCACGTACTCTACAAGCTGTGTACACGGTAGACAACATTTACCTCTCGCCTAGAGTTAGTTTTCTATCTCGAAATGTATGTATATATGTATTTATATCAAAGCCACGATGTAGAAAATATAGTTGGCGCCATCAGCGGAGCGCTAACCCTTCGTCTATTTGACAGCATTCACATATTTTCTGACGTCATAGAATACATTTTCGCAATATGGACAAGAATTAAATTTTCAAATTTTACTTAATTGCCGAAAAAATTGGACCTAAAAGTAGACAAATGTACCTAAAATTTAAACATGGCAACCTCTCTCTTCGGTACTCTGTGTACTTTTGGACTCACATCAAACAGTTTCTCCGAGCAGTAAGTTGAGCATGTGGCCTGGCTCTGACAAAACAGCAGATAACTGAAGCAACGACTGTTGCCAGAGACTATTAGAAAAGCCATTGAAATGTCAATGAAAATAAGAGGATGATTCTCAGTACATTATTTGGCTGCGTTCTAAATGTACTTAAAATGGTGTGCTGGTATCAAATATACGATTTAATATCGTAGCTATTTCAAAATTCAACAATATGTAATGAAGTTCATTGTCAAGACTTTACTATACGTCTCCGAAGAGCAAAAAGTCTTTTAAGCTTGCTAAATAGAGCGTAGAGTTGTCGTGGAGTTTTCGATCTAGCTCCGTTGGACTGTGTACATGACGAAAAAGTCTCGCTAAATAACTGTCACATAGACTTTGTAGTTGAGTCCTTCGTAGAGCTCTATTGAGTGTTTACACGTATCTAGCGAGATTTTTGCCTAAATCTCGCGTTTTTTCTCTACTGTGTACACTTAGCTTAACAGTGTGTAGAGCCTCGCCAGACAAACAACTTAGTAAATGGTTGAACCT